TTATATCACATATGTTGCTCAGCACTTCCCTGAACTTGGTATCACTTTATAGTGGTCACCTAAATCCACAGAAGACAGTCTAAATATGAACCAGGCTGGCAAGGATCATGGTAGACCCCTCTCATACTCTTTCTCCACACGATATTAGTTGAGGCTACCTGGTATCTATCATCCAGCCATGATCTTTCCTTAGTATAGACATGACAATGCAAGGGAGCACCCAGGATCCAAAGGTGCGTGGAGCATCTCAGCTAGCGTTCACACAGATCTTGGCTCACCTGAGCTTCAACTTCAAAGGAGTTGAGACATACCCAGCAGGTAAACTGGCAAATTCTGCCCATAGGAGAGATTATTAGTGAACACTACCAAATCTGTTTGAAACAATGTAAGACACTGCTGCCAGAGGTCACCTTCATCACAGAAGAGGCAACAGATGAACATATGACTTGTTTGCTTCAGATGCTTGGAGCTCTGACTCACTGAACCACTCCTGAGCAGCCACGGTTTAGTGTCTTTCAGTGTGACCAAGTTATGAACGAGGGGGCTCAGGCATGTGTTCACAAACAGCTCTGATGGTTCTGCTAATAAGCTGGGGAAGAAAGCTGGGACGGCTCAAACCTCGCCTCAGAATGGTGAAGAGAGCAGTCTTAAGGGAGGACACCACACTTTGTACTCTACAGTGCAAGAAGTGCATGACCCATTATGTCAGTTCTGCTGTGAGGTTAGCAATCTTCAATAAATGCACCAAGCAGATGTAGCCAGAAGCCTCTTCAAAGGGCTACAGCAAAATTCCCTGCAGTTCAGATGCCTGCCCTGCAATCCCACAAGGCAGCTGCAAGCTCGCACAGACGTAAACCAGCTGTCTCAGGCCAAGTATGGCTCCTAACTGCGGCAGAACAGGGCTCAGCACGGGCTGCAGGGCAGCCTGAACTCCAGTGAAGTACCTGTCCTTTGGAACTGGCACCAGCAGAGTTGCATTTTCTCTTGTACACGCACAGCTACTTTAAATGTTAACTTAGGCAAGTCTTTGCAAGCTGCAGTTTCACCTCTGGAACGTGCTTCGGACATAACTTAAATTTCTAAGCACAAATTGTGTTGTTTAACTATTTCTGACTGCACCCCTCTTCTGGGCACTGACACCCAGCCCAGTGCCATAGGCCTTGACACTTCTCTTCACACGTGACCCTGCCCCTTCATTACAGAACTCCAAGAATTCATAACTTCACACTGCGCATCCAGCAAAACATTTTAATCTGCAACACTACATTGCTTCCAGAGAAAAGCTACCAAAATGAGAGATCAAAGCTGGCCATGAGCCAGGGGTAGGCACTGTGCCCACTGCCCCGTCTGGCTCCTTCCACATGTTGTACCCTCACCCACTTCACTTTCTTAATTTGCTGGTCCCTGTAGTCAGTGTCTTTCTCCCTTGTTTCTTTTTCAGCCCTTTTTGTCAGGGAGGGTCTGGGAGCTGTGGGGGATGGCTGCCCATCCCAAGGGAAAACCAGTAGGAATAGGGCCCATCAGCTGGAGGTGCTCTGCTCAGAGTCCTCACTCAGGCCCACATTAAAATTTTTTGATGCTTTAATGCTCACTTCCCCTCTTGTCACTATCTGCTGTCCTCCACCGTTATTTACTTCCTTCCTGGCTTCCTTTTCTTTGGCATCCCCCTGCCCTTTCCAGGCAACCTCTTTGGACTTGTTAGAGTTAGGCCAATAAGGGAGACAGTAGGAGCAGGGACCATAAACAAGTGCCCAGGAAAGACTAAGAAAAGGTAGCCGTATATGACACTTCCCCATGTACTCTCCCAATCTCTATTTTCAGTGCCAGGGCTTTCCTGACTTCATATGATTTGTCTAATAAGCGGTCTTTAATATAGCTCTATCTTGGTTCCTCACTGAGAAGTATCAAGTTTTTCTCTAGCTAGATCAGAAAGTCAATGTGATAAACAGCATGTCCTGTTGAGACAAAGGGGCAAGTTCAGGAGTACAGAAAAAGCAATGGAGCCCTGGTATTTCTGAAGAAGGCTGAAACGGAACAGATGTTTATCAGATAGAGATGGAAAACTGCTCCTGATTCCAGAAGCTGCAGAGGAACACACATCATTATTAGTGAAATTAGGTGCATTGAAGAAGATAGTCATCTTGCTATGCTTTACTGTTGCTAATAGAGAAAGAACAGTTCTGAAAAACTGCCTTCAGTACAACAGCAGATGTCTAAAGTAAAGAGATGGCTCACTGGGCAGAACATCCAAGCAAAGCTGGGGAGAACACATGGGGTGGAGGCTCACATTAGAGTTCCGCCTGTCAACCGGGTAGGCACCACTGGCTCAAGTCTTTGAATGTGAACTTTGCTGTCTTGGACAAGTGCCAGAGAAACACAATATTATGGCAAAAGAGTTGATGTGATTACCAGTCATGCAAACAGGAGGAGGGGGTATTTTTTAGCTCTCTGTACAGCATTGCTGAGTCCAGTATTGGAATGTAGCATCCAAAAAACCAGAAGAGTGAATACATAGAAGGGCTTGGAAGTTACTAAGGGCCTGTAAAAATGCCTTGCAGTTAGACTTATACTTTGGTCTCTTTCATTTACCAGTTACAAGATTGAGAAGGGACCTGCTCATATTTAGAGGAAGAAAGTATAAAACACAAGCAGGTTCTTCAATCTAGCCAAAAGAGAAAATCCCTGGAAGCTAAAGCCCATAAATGCAAATTAGAAACCAGGTGCAATTTTCACAACGACAATGATTAACCACTGGAAGAAATTATCAACAGAAGTACTTGATTCTCCATCTTGTAATATCTTCAGATCAAAACTAGACGTCTTTCTGGAGGAAGTGCTTTAATGATATATGGGTACTTCAGTGAAATATAATAGCCTGTAATATGAAGGAAGCCAAACAATGATCTAAGGGTTCCTCTGTCTTTAAAACTGTGATTAACAAAACGAGGAATTGTTGTTTAAATAAAAAAGACAGCCTGTCATGAGCAGAAGATTCATATGATGGGGCAAGTAGAGGGATTGTGTCAAAGTGCAGTTGTGCTGTGGTGACCCATGATTACCAAATGAGATCTGAGGTTGCTGTCAGCCAGCACATGTTGGATCAGTGTCAGGACATACCTAGCAAATACAAAAGCAGGTATTTGGCCCCAAACACTTACAAATTAACTTGGACATAATGCAAAATCACAGAAAACAGGCCTGAAACCAGTTGTGAAACAGATTACCTAGGCCATCCTACAGTGACACGCCAGGGTGAATTACATGTAAATTCATCCTAGGAAGCAAGACAAGTGTCTGTTCTTAAAGCCCCTAATCAGAGTGATTTCACAATATCTCCAGCAAATGTTTCTTTGGTATCCCCTTAGTTATCCTTGTCACATTATCTGTAACCTATTCTACAAAATAAGCACCACCATTAGCCACAGTCTTCTTGCAGATCACATTTGCTAAATTACTGTTGACCTCTTGATTTTTTTTTCCCAGTTGGCCTCTACCTTTCCTGAGATGTGAAAAGTTGACAAAATATTTCAGAATGTTTTCACCATTGCTGAATAAAGTGGAAGGGTTAATACTGTGTGTTTACATTAATGTAGTATAAATGAGAGTGCTCAGTATGACTGTTTATAACAGTATGACTTCGTAGATTCTTTTGAACTTTACAATGCTTTGTAATCCCTAACTTTCATTGTGGAGCCGCTAGTCATTCTCCATCTTATTTATTCTGCTGCATATCCCTAGATGAGTGAAATACTTATTCTTGACTTGTACCTGACTTCGATCTATATATTTAAAAGACGTGTAGATGTGGCGCTTAGGGACATGGTTTAGTGGTGGACTTGGCAGTGTTAGGTATATGGTTGGACTTGATGATCGTAAGGGTCTTTTCCAACCTAAATGATTCTATGATTTCAGGATATTTCTCAAATTTGGCAAAAATATTTTGAATTCTGATCTTTTCCCCTTAAATGTCTGGAACCTCTCCCAAAGTGGTAATATTTGTGTAATCAACAGGTATACAGACCATTTCACCATCCAAATTATTACAGCTGTGGAGTTGTGTTTGATAATTTTGATAGAGAAGCAGTACAGATAGTGCAGAAAGTAGCATATGAAAGGGAGAGGTACAACAGATGTTTTAGAAGGGAACAGCACAAAACCTAATTCATGCACATGAGCAACTTCACAGATCAAAAATACGACACTCCTCCTTTTAAACATCATTCTTTCATAAAATTCACCTCTTCCATGAAGTCTATGAAACTGTGCTCTTTGAGAATGATTAATTTTTAGATATACATTTGTAGTAAATCATAACCTTCTTTACTGAACTGCAGCAATGTATTACATTCATGTTAGATCCCAAGAGACATAATTTCACATACCGTAAAGGGAAGTAGACACTCCTGCTGGTTCTGCACCACGTAGAGGCTCAGCAGGGGAACGCGGCAGGGGCCTGTCAAACTGCATGCCAAACAGAGTGTGTTTTCCAGAGCTTCAGAAAGTACAGAACAAGTGTTGGTCCAGGAAGGCGATGTGACATCCACAATGAGAATCCGCGATGGCTGCTGGCAGCGTACTTTAGTAGCAGGAAATGTTCTCCGTGCTTCTGAGAGTAATTTTCTAGAATTCATGGCTTCTGAACATGGGTGTTAGATGTCCAGTTATCCA